CTCCCCTCTCTCTCTCTCTCTCTCTCTCTCTCTCTCTCTCTCTCTCTCTCTCTCTCGCCGCGTCTCCCTGTCTTTCTATCTTCGCGATCGTAAGCCAAATCGTACGTCGATCTCGACGGATCGCGCACTTCGTCGTGCTGTGTTGACCTCGAAAATTCTATAAATAACTCTTCTTTCTCTGTTTTTTCTTTGATCTTGCATTTTAGCTTGTCGACTCCGTGAAACGTCAAAGTGCCGCTAATTATCTTCAAGACGCGCTTTCCAATTCGCGTAATCGATTAATGCTCGTTTTCACCAATGTATATAGATTAACTTTAATCTCGGTTCAACTTACTTTTCATGTTTTTCTAGTTCTACGAATTGAAAAAAGCTGAAGAGTTATTTGAACGGAGATTAAAATTGATATAAATTGATAAAAATGGGCATATGGAGTCGATCAACCGTTTCTTTGATTCTCCCCAGCAATTGAGGTCTTTAAGACATTATCAATATTTTAAGTATGTATTTTGGTTGACAAATTTAAATTTGTAAAAAGTAAGCAAAATACTATTAAATAAAATATTAAAATAAAGTATCTTTTAAGGCTGTAATGTGAATACACATCAATTATACTGAAAAAAAGTCTGGTACTACAACTATCAAATGTTGAGTGAAACAAATTCAATCAAATGTTTAGTTAATATAACTAAAAAATAATTTTATTTTTCTAAATATTTAATAAAAAATTATTACTAAACAATTGGTTTATTATGTTTGATAATATTTACTAAATATTCAGAAAAGTAAAATTATTGTTATGTTAATTTTTGGTTACGTTTAATTGAAATTATTTCACTCAACATTAGCTATTAACAGAGTTTTTTATAGTGTAGGAAATAAAAGTTTTAAGTACAATAAAATATAATCCAACACTTCTACGATGGTAAAAACTCATTATTAAAAGCATTGGTATAAATATATTAGAATTTTTTCGAATTTTTATATAATTTGGAACAATGAAAAATTTGCTGTTTCTCGAAAATTTATTGCTGATGGAAGAATTAAAATTCATGTTACCGGCGAAGAGTTAAATACGTTGCGGTTCTTTTTTTCTTTCTCTTCTAAGGACAAATCTCGCGCGCGGCGTTTTCGACTTTGCGAACGTGAAAGCGAGTGCCGTGAGACAAACTCGAATTTCGATTTCTTTATTCTACGCTAGTCGAGAGGCTCGTACCAGGCCGTTTCGGATCGAAGGATCAACCCACGTAAATCGCCCACGTTATTTGCACAACACCACCGTGATTCCCCTCTCGCAATCGCTAAACGTCGCGCCGTGTGCTCACATTTGTTATAACGTCGCGCTACGTGATACAATGAGAAATCAAAATACCGCCTCGACCTCGACGTAACTCGTCAGGTTTCACAAACGGTTCTCTGCTCTTGAAATCGTGTGTCTCATTAATTAAAATCTACTTCTATACGTCGTTAGTTCCTACGAATTAAATTATTTTTTTCAAAACCGACACAGTTGTCCCATTTCATACAAACTTTATACAAAAACAAGATAATCATGTTGCGTTTTTGCGTTAATAGCGAAGAATGAGATGCTAAACTTTAAAACTTCTGATACGAAAACAACTTTGCCCATAAAATATGAAAATTTGATGTACAATTCAATTTATTGTACATGTTGATTGACTTCAATTTCGGTTTAACTTATTCTTTATTTTTTTCTAATTTTTAGAACTAGAAAAAGATAAAAATTAAGTTGAAGTAAGACTGAAATTAATCTACATTAATAAAAATGAGCATTAATTTAGTAACTTTACGGATCAACGATGACTAACTTAAGATGGAATATCTAACATTTCGGATCATAATTATAAAATACACGATAAATACGCGCACACACACACATGAATCGCATATAGTCATGCGTAGTTCACAATGTATGAGATAACAATAAGGATATTCCGTAAACTTGGTCGCACCTATCTATCAATAAGCGTTTACGATCTAAACATAAGGAATAACGTAAGCAATCGTGCGCCTGCACGTGTCATAACTAACGGATATTGCGGAATACAATAATTTTTTACGCAGTCGAGAGAAAGTAGAGTCGATAACTCCAAGGAAACGGACTAAACAAGGCAGAACCTTTTACGTGTCGCAATCGATAATTACGCCAATTGCGTAATTCCAACATTTGTTAATCTTTCAGGCGCAAACGTTTCCAACAGGGAACATATCGTTTTCAATTTTGCGTTAACTCGCCAGATAGAAATTTTTCGTCGTTTTGTTGTTGGAAACACATTAAAAAGAAACTGTGTCTTGATCTTTAAGATTATTGACTTTTGGCTATTATAAGTTGTTCATATATATACGGAATGACAAAAACATTTGGCCACAAAGTTTTGTGTTTATCAATTCATTAGTAACGTATATTTACAAAAAAAAACTCTGTAGTGTTAGTTACATTTTATTAAAGATAAAAAATAATAATTAATATTCAAAATGGTTACCAAACGACCAATACATTTGTCTTCAATTCATCAATAGATAAACATTTTTGGTATATAGAAGGTTTTTGGTTTAATAAAATGCAATTAACATTCCAATGTTTTTCTAAATATATGTTGCTACTCAGGTTTTTTTTAATTGTATGTTATCACCAGCAAGTTAAAGACGACGTTATTTGTTGTCATTTTGATGTCATTTTGATGTCAAAATAACTTGATGTAAATAAACAATTTTTTTTCTCAGTGAAGAAAAAATCTCGTCATAATGGTCGACGTTCGAAAAAAGTTCTTTTTCGTATATATATCCAAAATAAAAAAAAATTTTTTTTAAGCGATCGCGAGTGAGCGTTAAAGATCTGCGAAGAAATTAACTTTTATGTTGTAAGGCGGTTCTGCAATTAAAGGATCGAAGACGAAGAGGCTACTTTTTACGCTTCGACGACTCTGTAACTTTTTCTCTCATTCGCCGACTTGATCAAGACCTCTACTTCCACGACGGACTCTGACTTGGTTTCTCCGTGCGATCGTGTTTGTAATTTGCGGACGCAGCAGCACGAATTGTAATTATACGAATGCCTGATT